GACTGGAAAAGGAAAAATACCAAATCAGTGATGAGACCACGCCGCTGTTCTGCGTGTTCGACGAAACCTTGCCTTCTGTAGACACCAAAGTGAGTCTGCAAGCCCATATGTTTGTTTCATTGGCATTCTCCACGCACCCTTTCATAATCAGACAGTGAAGGCGTCACAAAACGCAAGAACGGCCCACACCGTAATGGCTCCGAAGAAGTTAAGAACCCCAAATGTCCAAAGGTTCTCAGAATGCCGATAACCTTTCGACAGTTAATTTTTTTGGAATGGCCATGGAATAGAACACGTCCAGTACCACGCCACTGTAAAACGGCCATTGATATGTGGTGTGATTGTGCGGGGTGTGCGCCCTCGCCCTCGCTGTCTTCCGAACTCTACATCTGACTGGGCGCCGGGGGGCGTCACGTGACCGCGGGTCTCCCGATTCACCGGGAGTCAAGCGTCGGGCGCTGAGGCGGCGGCAGGGACTCGATGCTCGCAGGCGCAAACCGGTTTTTGGACGAGTCCAGGCGAATGCACACTACGTTCTCTTACAAGCTATTTCGGCCATCATGCCCGAAACCGTCGCGGCCGGTAGCGATGCTGTCACAACGGCTGGTGCGAGTGTCCCAGCGCCAGAGATGTCGACTACTACGGCCGGAGTGGACAGAGGGGCCGCGGTGAATGGTGGAGGCCCATTCGACGCGCAACTCATCCCCGAGCACGATGGCACGGCCGACGTCGTAGAGCAGTTTACGAGGGCGGCCGTGCTCTGCCGTCATCATGGAGCGAACTTGCCCAGCATTCTGCCGGCGCGACGCGCGGGTGGCGCGTTTGCCGTCTGGCTGCAGATACCTCAAAATGGTTACGATGTTTCGCGTCCTAAACTCGTCAATGGTCCCAAGATGGTCGACGTAAAAAGAGCGAGCCTACGGACCCGTATGAGAATAACTCGAATAGTAGTCTTTGGCCAATATTTCATGGATTTCCTCAGCAAAGCTTCAAATCCAAACAGCAATTTACTCCCTAACAGCACTGAATGCCAATTTCATGTAGCTCATTCACTCATCGATTGGTGAGATCAATGAATAATCTGGTGTGGTTGAACAGTGTATCAAGCCTTTTAACATGCCTGCATTGTCCGGGTAATTATGGCTCCGTATCAATGCCCTGGTCAAAACGTTGGTGTGACCGTGCGGCACAAGCATTGAAGATTATGTGGCCTGCATGGATGCGCCATGCGGGATTCCCCACCGATGGCGATAACATTATGGCAATGCATGCGTGTTTGGCTCATGCAGGTGGACAAGGCGGCCTTCTGTTTGATCGCAGGTCATACTGCATGCGCTTCTGCATGCGCTTGACGCTGGGGCCCGTTGCCCACAGTTTGCTACGCGGACCTGCCAGTTCCGTTAGAATTCCGTCGGGCGAGGCTTCGGCAAGGCACCGCTGGCAGCAGGGTGGGTGTCCACAGGATTCCGGGGACTCTACTCCAGCGACAGATGGCCGACCCGAGAGCAACGGCACGCCTGCGAGCGTTTGAACAGGCGCACGTCAGCGCCGTGTACGTGCAGGAAAAAATCAGGCTTCAAAGCTACGCGAGTAGGACCGGCTCGGATACTTACCAACTGTTACTGGCCACGACCACGATGATTCCGGCCTGGAAACGTGTTTTTTTTTCGCGGCGTTCAATGTACTTACCGTCTTTCTCAAAAGCGTCTTTGAAAACTGCTTTCTCGGTACGGCGGCCGCGGTGAAGTGCCATCGGCTTGGAGCGGATTTTCCGAGCACAAGCGGCCAGCTATAACTACAGAAGCCATTTGCTGCGGTCATCAGAATCATGCAATGCTGTCTGTGTTTGGTATGTTTGCCGACGCGGCCTGCTAATTGCTTCACGTACATCGGGGAAAAGGGGCTTTGTGTCGAGGTTCAGGCCCGCCGAGCCAAATATTCCAAGCGGGCTTCCCTGTGCTGATGTGACACGGACGTGGGGTTTCCCCGCACAACAGGCCGCAAAAACTACCCGCGTCTGAGATCGCTCAAGATAGTGGCCGGTACGCTACCCCCGTTACTGGGGTTGTCCAGCTGCCCGGGGAACCGCAGCTGCGGCGGGGCCCCAGTCAGCCGCGCAAGTCTCGTCCAGGCACGCACGGCCAAGCGACACGGGCAGACGGCTGGGCGCACGCCTGAAGGCAGCGTAGCTGCAGACAGATACCGAAGCGGACAGCACAGCAGTACGGAGGCGTGCAGCTACCCCGCCGGCCACTGCAGACCCCATCGAGCGTGATTCCGGTTACAAGCGGTTACAACACTTCATAGCGATGCACTGCCGCCCGCCCACCAGCGGGCAAGATAGAGGTTTGTGTGAACTATTCAGTTATTCAAACATACTACATCCCTCACTGGAGGACTGCACGCTGAAATAGACATCCACTTCTGCAGACGGAAGCTACTTGTTCTACTAGGCATGATGCATGCGTGCTCTCAATCTACTTAATGATTATAGCACAACTAAGGCCTGACCAATTCGGTGGTGACGAGGAGTTACCTCCGCTCCTGATTATCTTCTCTCCTTCTTTTTTTTTGTATTCTCCGTCATGGTCTTTTCAAGCAAATCTCTGAAGTGACGGAAGCTTGCCAGGCCACTCCCGATCGCTCAGCGGCCCTCCGCACTGGTATTGGGTCCTATCGTTTCCCCGAAGACCCTTATTTGTTGTCCGGGCCCCATCAACTAACACACGGATTATTTGCTCAGGGCCCTCTGCATTCATCCGAAATTCTTCCCATTGCCCTTATCTGCAAAGGCCGCACTCTCTCGTTGGGGTTTTATCCTGCTAACCTGCAGAACTACTTGCTGCCAGGTGTTTTATATGTTCATCTGCCAAAGTACTCTCGATCGCTCAGGGGCCCTTCACATTGGTCTTGGGCTCTTCCTTTTTGTTCGTATGCTTGGAGGGTCCTGCACTCTTGCCGCGGGCTCTATATGTTGAACAGACGGAGGAGGGGAAAAGCACCGATCGCCCAGGAACCCTAACAAAGTTGTCTGTGTTCTCGCTTGCTCGGGGTACCCTGCGCCGTTGACGGGGTTCCTCTGTGTTGACCCGCTGCGGCACCCGCGATCTCTCAGGGACCGCCCGCATTCGTTTTCTTGTCTTTTTTTTCTCGGAGGACACCGTCGGCAGGGGCCCCGTATCTTAATCGGTCTGAACACACTTGATCACTCCGGGCCCTCCGCACTGGTCTTGGGTTCTTCCCAAGAGTGGGGACACGCGGTTTCCACGTGTCATCCGAGCTATCGCCCTTTTTAAATTTTAAACCTAATATTGATCCGCATCCTGTGATCATGCCCTACCACACATCGTAAAGCTACGAAACATGGGTAATGCGACAGAATTCTAACAGAATTCTCACACAATTTGTGCACACGGTCAGCGCCGCTCGGCGATGGCGGCGCGTCGAACGCAGAGCCGTCGGATAACGAGCGAAAAAGGCTGAATACGCGCTCCGGCCTCCAGACAACACAAAACAATCGCTAGAAACCCACATAACTGAACGGATTAGCGCGACAAAATCGCTCACTTACCGGTTATATCGGTACTTCCGGCATTTTAGGTGCATTTCCACCCTAAGGATGACCTGAATTTCGATTACCCCGAAGCAAACAAGATTAAAGCGGCATACGCCTTGCGTACACTAGCCTCCTGTTGTGGAGAGGGCCATACAGACAGCTGATGGGTCCACAGAAGCGTTCTAAACGGTCATTGTATTGGGGAACACAAATAGAATCACCAATCAGAAGTGCCATTACCTCGTTCCTGCCTGAATTCTCCTGGTGAGTGGAAGCCCCCCCCCCCCCCCCTCCTGCTTTATAGCAGACACTTTCGGCTCAGTGCAAGTGGTGCGTTACAGTACATGTGGCAACATAACCTTCCAGCCAGTGCCCACCTGTCGGCGCCGCCTGTGCACTCATCTTTCCTGGCGCAAGACAGATGTGGTTTCAACGCAAGCTCTCCCAGACTTTCGCGCAGCACCTTGGTAGGACTTCACCAGGCTGGGAGCGGCTGGGTTAGAATATACCGAATGTTATTCGGACAACCTGGTCCGTTAAGGCTGCAAGTTCTTATTTTACGCAGGGCTGAATATGTCGTGTCCGCAATGTTTGGCGTTGCTAATTCATGCAGTTAACCGTAGAGTCCCACACCTTGTCGGTCTTATCGAATTTTGCTTGGCTTTCTAAAAACAATGTGTCTCAAAGCAAAAACCCAGCAGTAGAAATAGTGTATCTGCTTACGACTGCAGTCAGCTAAAATGTCTTTGCGTTGACTCGCGTTCTTTTCATGATATTGCGGCCACCGTGTGGTGGGAGCGCCATAACGCTAACTGGCCCTGAAACATTGCTACCTGCCGCAAGTAGTCCTCCACCTTCGCCACTGAACATGGCTTACCGGGAAGACATTTTCAGAATTATAAATGATCAAAGCTCACTGATTCTCCAACGACCAAAGATCATGTTAATAAGGTTTTAATGCGTAGAAACAACTAACATGTATCCCGAACAATTTCTTTTTCAAATCAATAATTCTGAGGCATGACAAGGTTATGCCTAATGAAAAGGCGCTGTGCAGGAAGGAAGGTAGATCAAATTTATTTTTTCCAACCGTCATAAATGATCATTTCCACCGCCGAAGCGAACAATATCTGAGCACGGCGGGCAGTTGCGAAGGGGACGCACCTACGGCACATGTCATTCCCCACTGGCATGTCACAGTCGCGGTCGACATGACGGGGGCTCATTACCTATTACAGTTATGTCACACCGACGTGCTCCACCACTGACGTCATGGCGACTGGGCCGCATTTTGCAGCAGCCGCCACCTGCGCCGATGGGACGGCTCGGCTCACCGGGACGGGGTATCACCAGGCCGGCACACCCCACTGGGCGCAGATGACTACGGAGATTTCCAAAACCTGTTCTGCACGAGCCGGCGCGGGGCTGTCCAGTACTAAAGCGACGTCGGACGCAGCGCCCTTGAAGTGCAGCCGGTGGCTTAGGAGCGCACACACCATGGCGGTAAGTGGAGACTGCGAACGTGGATTTGCAACACCTTTAGCAAGACCGTAATGCCTTGCCACCCAGACCTTGCCACGCCGCCCTCATACGCAAACAACCAAAAGCAGAAGTTGATGATATCTAACGTGGCATTTTCCCCTTCCGTGGCAGCGGTGTGCTGTCAGTTTGAAATATCTGCCTGGACACCTCGCACAGCCGTGATGACACCGCGCGCGTGACTTCTGCGATGGGGTATTAATGATTTCGCGATATCCATATTTCCACAGTAACACATTAATAACATTTGATCCCTAAGTGACAAATGTCAAAGCCAGTCAGAAGCCACGAGCGTTGCAAGAAGCGACTAAACAGAGTATACATACTCCATGAATATAACTTGGTGAAATGTCAGATTGCCATGGGCAAAAAGCATGAAGCATGAAAAAAAAGCATGAAACTTCACCAAAATAATCACTAAATCTACGCCGCCTTTTTTAAAAACTTGTAGCGACCTACAATCGTGCGCCTTATCGTTCATCAATATACCTATAACATCAAATCGTTGAGGGATTTAAACGCTAACATAATACATAAATATTGTCCACGACCGGTTTCCTTAAGAGCGTAGCACCCCTTTCCTTCAAGTCTGAAAAGAAGGTGACAATTAGGTAGTAAGGAAAAGCAAAAGAAAGGAAGGTACGTAGAAAAGTAACGTAGCTCCAGGGGACCGACCGCAAGGGCGTAGCAAGAGCCTGGTCAAGGTGGGTGGGCACGGGGTTCAGAAAGGGCCCCTGATGCTGAAATGCTCCCCGAAATATATTACAGGGTATGGCCAAAGGCCACAATTTTAGTCGCTTTATTATCCTTTTTACCGTCTATAGCTAGACCAGAAAGTAGAAGCTATCGCGGTACCAATTCTGTTAGAATTTTGAAGGCAATAAACTGAAGAAAGCAGGCGTTCAACGCCTGCATACGACAAATCACCGGCGCTCCTCACTTCACAATGGTTAATTGGACGCTCTCTAAACCGATATAACTCAGCAGGTTCACCAGAACTTTGATCTGGACTCTACAGAGATATTCAAGTCCCTGTGAACGTGGATTGTACATCCAATGGGCCAAAACTTCTTAACAGTCGATCCACGTTTATCTGGGAATGCTCAACATTCGGCCAGAATCGATTGGCGAGAAAAAAAAATGGAACGTAGTTTTTAACATGGACGATCGCAAATTTCAGCAATCAAAATTTCGACGCCCGGCGTTGCAGTCTGCATAGGCTGCGCAGCGTCGGCTCCGTGGCTAACATTAAAAGATGGCAAACGAGGGGACAAAAATATTGTGATTGAGCCAGATTTTCTGGTGTTGTTTTCGATTTCGAAGGAACCTTCGGGCCCCTCGAAACCTGAGGAGGGAAGGAGGGAAACATGTGCCTCCTGCACCCGACCCCGCGCCTGTGCCACTGTGAGAAACCCACGACGCAGGCGTCTATGTATCCCTTTCCCAATGCTACTGACTGACGCCTTGCCTCCAGCGCCCGCTCTCCACTACGCTGCGGCTGCCGCTGTCGCTTCTGCTGCTGCTGCTGCTGCCGGCCCCGGTGCCGTGCCAGGCGACGCCGCGCGTCGTCTGCTTCTACGAGGACTGGGCGCGCTACCGCAGCCCGCTGGCGCGCTTCCTGCCCGCCAACATCCCGCCGCACTTGTGCACGCACATCCACTATGTCGGCGCCAACGTCGACGAGGAGACGCTGCACCTGGGGCCGCTGGATGGTTTCGCCGACATCATCGGTGGTGGCTACCGGGACACGGTGGCACTGCGCCGTCACAACCCGCAGCTGCGCGTGCTCGTCATGATCGGCACCAGCTCGGAGACACAGCAGCAGGCGCTCAGCAGCGCCGCCGCCACCCCCGAGAGCCGCAAGCAGCTGGCGGCAGAGGTGGTACTCTTCCTGCGCGAGCACCAGCTGGACGGACTGGACCTGGACTGGAAGCCGCCACACGCGCCGGACACCCACGCAGCACTGCTGGAGGCGCTGCGCGCCGCCTTCGACGGCGAGCAGCTGACGGACGGCCGGCGCCGCCTCCTCCTCAGCGCCGAGCTTAGTGCCGACCCAGCTGAGCTGCGCGCAAACTTCGACATCGCTCGCATCACCGCCTCCGTCGACTACGCCGGCGTACTCGGCTACACCTACCACTCGACGGAGGCTGATGAGACGTACCACCACGCGCCGCTGCGCACGCCGCCTGGCGCGCCAGCGCGGCTCGCCGGCCGCGACTTCATGTCCACGCTCGCGGCGCTCCAGCAGATGGGCGCCGACCCCAGCAAGCTGAACCTGGCCGTGGCCACGTTCGGGCAGACGTTCGAGTTGCGCAGCGCCGGCCGCAACGGCCTGTACGCGCCGACCGCCGGCGCCGGCGCCAAGGGGCCGCTGACGCTCAGCGCCGGCTCGCTGGCCACGTACGAGATCTGCGACATGACGGGCCGGCGTGGCTGGACGCCGGTCAGACCGTTCCCAGAAGCGCTCGGCCCGTTCGCCTCCAGCGGCAACCAGTGGGTAGCGTACGACGACGAGGCCATGCTCCGCCGGAAAGGCTGGCTGGCGCGCGCGAGCGGTCTGGGCGGCGTGGCCGTGTGGACCATCACGCAAGACGACTTCCGCGGCTTCTGCACCGGTACGCCGTTCCCCATGATCCGCGCGCTCAAAGCGGGCATATTCGGCGTGAAAGAGGCGCAGCTACCGACCACGCCAGCGCCTCCCACGACGCCAGCATATGACGCCACCGACATCTTCATCTGCCCGGGCAACGGCAAGTACGCGGCGCACAACTGCAGCCAGTTCTACTTCTGCCGCGGCGGCGAGGCCGATCTGCTGAACTGCGAGGCCGGCGAGACCTATGACAATGGCCTGCGGGCGTGCCGGCCGGGCGGCCGCTGCAACCCCCCGCCGGCGCTGCAGGTGAACGGGTTCGGGCCGACCCCGACGCCGGCACCGGCGGGCCGACCCGCACCGCCGGCCCGGCCCGTATCGGCCGCCTGGCGGCCGCGGATTTATGGGCGTTATCGCTAATTCGGCGCATCAAAAGCTGAAGCCGAGGTGGTGGGGCATTACGGGAACTCACGCCAGTTCGGCGACTGTGGATGAAGGGGAAAACGAGCTGAAGATAAGAGCTGCCGACGATGCCCAACGGGCCACCTGGCAAATACCTTGTCTGAACCTCGTGCTAATAAGTAAGCATAACGCCATACACTTCCCAGTACCGATAGTGCGAGCTGTGTTGTAAAAAACCTAACATGGTCCGGTTTTACGAACTCGAAATAAACGTGACAGGTTTGAAATTCGCATAGACACAATACTGTTATTTGCCCACATTCTGCGTCTCAAACAACCTGTAATATTTACATCCTCAAAAGTCAAGATAGGCAGACGACGTGTTTGCCAAGGAGGCGGTCACCAAAAAAGAACAAAACAGTACATGCGCTCGATCTATGAGCCCAGAAAGCAGCATTCGTCCATGTGCGCTGTGCCTACACCAGTTCCTTACCCAGAATCTATGATGAATTTCATGACACTTCCCGTCGTCTAAACTGAGGCAGTGAAATTTTCGGTGCACAAAAAAACAAAGCTATAGATATATCCGAACCAAGGTAGGCCGCCGCGGAAACCCTGCCAGAACTTCGCTAAAACTTTTCTTAGTTTGGCACCTTCGGCAATGCATTTACATGTGCTCATGATTTTACTCGCTCACGTCATGATAAGTTTGGGTTCAACGTAAGGAAGACCTTGGGAGAATCTCAAGCTTAGCTTTCTAAAAGCACAAAAACGCATTATAAAAGCGCATGCACATGCGCATGGCCCGATTATGGTCCTAACCTAACCTAACCTAACCTAACCTAACCTAACCTAACCTAACCTAACCTAACCTAACCTAACCTAACCTAACCTAACCTAACCTAACCTAACCTAACCTAACCTAACCTAACCTAACCTAACCTAACCTAACCTAACCTAACCTAACCTAAACGTAAACTCCAGTTTTCCGTAGATATGCAGCGGCAAAAAAGTGAGCACATATCTAAGTTCCAGTGAGTGAACACAAACGCAAAAACCATCGCGCACTTCGCCAAAAACAGTTACCCCGTAGACGGGCAGACTGTTGGTAACAGAGACAGCTCAGTACAGCGTCGCGTCCACCCCGTTCCCCGTAGACGAGCGCATTGCTGGTACAGAGACAGCTGAGTACAGCATCACGTCCGCCCCACTGCCATGCCGTGAAAGAGCGCCGCAAACACTGCGGGCAAGGCCGAACAAGACTGTCGCGTGCCATTCTGGTCAATGAAGGCAGAGTCCGCGTTGCCCGATTCATAACTTGTGTGAACCTAGCGACCAGTGACAGCCCCACAGAGAACCGGGATTCTTGCTAGATCCAGTGTCGGAGTGATAAGACCTCGTGCTAAGGCGTCTTTTCTCGACAGTGCGGTTCGTATAACAAAGAGGCACAAAACAACGACGGAACCCATGTTGACAACGAGCCCACGCCAAAAAAACCGTAGTGTGTCTGACCTTTACCACTGCAGCATTTCCGAACCAAAACTTACATCATTTAGTGGACGTCAAAACCTGTCGCTAGGCACTTCAGTAGTCCCAGATGTGTGGTCTGATAAATCGCTGTCTTTCTGTCACTATCATGGCTCCGGCCTCGGCACATATAACTGCCCTTATTGTCACTGTCACGCCTCCGCACAGATTGCCGCCCACACTGTCACTATCATGGCTCCGGCCTCGGCACAGATCGCTGCTCTTACTATCACTGTCACGCCTTCGGCCTCAGCACAGATTGCCGCCCACACTGTCACTATCACGGCTCCCGCCTCCGCACAGATTGCCGCCCACACTGTCACTGTCATGGCTCCGGCCTCTGCACAGATCGCTGCTCTTACTATCACTGTCACGCCTCCGGCCTCAGCACAGATTGCCGCCCACACTGTCACTATCACGGCTCCCGCCTCCGCACAGATTGCCGCCCACACTGTCACTATCATGGCTCCGGCCTCTGCACAGATCGCTGCTCTTACTATCACTGTCACGCCTCCGGCCTCAGCACAGATTGCCGCCCACACTGTCACTATCACGGCTCCCGCCTGTGCACAGATCGTCGCCCATACTGTCACTTTTATGGCTCCGGCCTCTGCACCGACCGCTGCTCTTACTGTCACTATCACGGCTCCCGCCTCTTCACATATCGCTGTTCTTACTGTCACTATCATGGCTCCGGCCTCCGCACAGATCGTCGCCCGTGCTGTCACTATCATGGTTCCGGCCTCTGCACAGAACGCTGCTCTTACTGTCACTATCACGGTTCCGGTCTCTGCACAGATCGCTGCTCTTACTGTCATTATCACGGCTCCGGCCTCTGCACAGATCGCTGCTCTTACTGTCACTATCACGGCTCCGGCCTCTGCACAGATCGCTGCTCTCACTGTCACTATCACGGCTCCGGCCTCTGCACAGATCGCTGCCCTTACCGTCACGGTCATGGCTCCCGCCTCTGCACAGCAGAAGCTATCACAACGTACGGCACAGAGGTGCCGCAAAAACAGCACTCTCAACAAGTGATAAATATAGCGACAAAGCCTCAATCGCTAACGCAACACAAATAACAGCGCATCGTAGCAGTCATACCAAATTTATATGTCACGGCTTTCCATTAGCAATCGCCGTGGCAATGTCCTTGCTGCCTGCATCACGGTGGATACGTTCATGATATATTGCAAACGGCTGTTTTAATCATTTTGAATTGCGAATTATTATCATGAAAGCTGGGGAATGCGCCCAAAAAGTTTCGATGATTTGGAACGAACAAGTAGCATGACACTACGTCTAAAAAATGCACTGCCTTAAACAATGTTGCTGTCACCAGGTGCCAAGCTGAAGTATTTGTGTTCAGCCTACGACAAAGAGTACAAAGGTATAGTGATTCTAGTATCGTTAGTAATGTTTTGTCCTAAGCTATTGCCAAGCTTTATATCCTACTATATTCCAGCTAAACTTTCTATTTTACAGTCAGTATTTGTCGCACTATGCTCCATTCCTGCGTGCCGTTCGGCTGATCCACCCCCGATCGTGGTGCACCAGGTAGGACCCGCCGGCCCGGGGTCAGGACCGGCTGCACCAGCACCATGGTGCAGCCGGCGCCCGGTACCAGCGCCCGGTGTTGATCCACCCCCGATCGTGGTGCTCCAGGTAGGACCCGCCGGCCCGGGGTCAGGACCGGCTGCACCAGCACCATGGTGCAGCCGGCGCCCGGTACCAGCGCCCGGTGTTGATCCACCCCCGATCGTGGTGCACCAGGTAGCACCTGCTCGCCTGAGCACAGGGCTCCGCTGCATCAACGCCAGCCCCCCCCCCCCCCCCCCCCCCGGTGATCCACTAAGATGCGTTTTTTTCAGACAGCACAATTACAAATGCAAGCGCAAAAGACTGCTGTTTAATAAAAACAGTGATGGAAAGCTCATATATAATACAAGCCTTTCATCAGCTCAAGCAATAATGGCATGCGGTTTCGTGCCAGCCGTGTTCACGTCAGGTCTCGGCGTGGCCGTGCGGTGCGCGAAATAATATACAGTGGCTGCAGCTGGAGTCGCCTGTTCTGTTGCCGCCACCGACCCGTGCCCAGACCAAAAGGTCGCAATAAGTGCATATGCAACGTTCCGTTTAGCGGGTATTCTTTCTTCGAACCGCCATAAGGTTGAGGTGGCCAGTGCACCAGGTCTCACCTGGCCCACCCTGTCAATCACTCCGAGTTGTATCCGTGCCCAGGTGTCGCCCACACAGCACGTCACGGCGCCGCCATTCACGTCATGCTGTATTCCACCCTTCATGCCGGCAGCTGCTGCTGCTGTAGCTCCTATCTTGGGGAGCCGCGTTTGTGCACGTGCAGGACTAGCCGACAGTCGATGTGGAGCTGAACTGCATGGATCGTTACCTGTTCGTCTAGTATGGCCCAGCTGGGAGTCTCACCCGCTTTTAGCTGGTTGCAAGCGTGGCTCAGTTGTAGCCGGACATTATTTGAAGCATGACAAAGCAGTCTACGGGGCATGTTCTGGTGCATATCGCCAACTGCAAACATCTTTACTCATATTTTCTTCTGTAATTTCTGGATGTAAATGTAGGTAGGTGTAGGGTCAGCATTTACGCCGCTATCCAGTTCCCTGGGCGTTCTACTCCCAAAACGCTGTGCTGGTCTGGGTCATATCGCAGATGGTGTGACAGGTGAGCAGGTCGCAAAACACAAACCACAAAAAACTCAGCCCTCAAAGCCGCCCGACGACCTCGACGCACCGTGTCCACTGTAGTAGCCGTAGTCCAACCTCGAAATCTACGCCACATGAACACTCGTTTTCGGCTTCGGGGACCTGCTGTCGCACCGGCCAGATCGGCGGTGAGATGAAGAACACGTCCGCGTAACACTAGACCTGCTGCCGCACCGGTCAGATCGGCGGTGAGATGAAGAGCACGTCCGCGTAACACTAGACCTGCTGCCGCACCGGTCAGATCGGCGGTGAGATGAAGAGCACGTCCGCGTAACACTAGCTCCGGTAATGCGCTGTGATCTACCGTCATCTGTCACGGCTGCGGAATTCATGCCATACTGTCCTGGGTCGCAACACACATACATCGGAATGGCTGCACAAACAATATGGTCTGGGCCTCTATGGGAGCAGCCGCGACCAGCACAACAAGTCCGCCGACTGATTCCTTAACCCCCGTCCTCCCAGTGTTTTCTTCATTTTCGTTCAGCTATGGGTCTCGGAAACCACCCCCGAGAATGTGAGAGTTATGCGAGCTAGAGTCACGAGGTAAGCGGAATTGGAAAGCTCTCGGCAATTTGTCTCAGGTGGACATGCCTGAATAACGACAACTGTGCCTCTCGATGGGTCAAATGGGGTCATATGAGACAGCGCCATTTTATAGACCATTTCTATAATGTCAAGAACTAAGCATGCTACGGTAATGCAGAAAAATGCGTTGAAAATATTTTGAAAAACGTTATCATGCAGGCATTAGTGGACATCAATGGTTATAACCCGTAATAAGTCACATCAGGCCAGACAAGTTTGGCCCCTTTTTACATAAACCCGTCCGGCCCGTGCTGGTGCTTATGTCCGTGGCACTGCGGCCGGTGCTGTTGTCGCATTGACCATCCCGGGTACATGAAATATTTAACAAGGCAATTCGGATGCAAGTAACGAAGCGCTTTCCAAAGCTGTAAGAAATGTGGCGATAAAGGAAATGTTTCACATTTGAACATGTCAAAGCCGGCATCATATATGAAGAA